ATTTTTCATTTTGTATGATTTGTTTAATAATGATAAAATCACATTTTTTTTAAAAATAATTAAATTTACGTAAAAATTAAGTAAATGATTTTAGGAATTTTTTTTTATTAAATCTATTTAAAATTCAAAAATTTCTTATTATTATATATAAGAATTATATAAATTTTATCAAAAATACTTTTTTAAAAATGAATATTCCCAAAATTGAAGATTCATCATCAAAACCTTTAGCAGCTTTATTAATAAGCAATGCATTTAATCCTATTACTACACAAATTTTAGAAAAATTTAAAAAAGCAAAAGAACATTTAGAAAATGAATATGAAATAGTGAATGGATTTATTTCACTATATTCAAAGAAACATGTTGATAATAAATACTATGAAGATGCAATACCACTGCATCACAGATTAGAAATGATCAAGATAGCTATAAATAGATTGTCTTGGATAAAACTTGATGAATATGAATCTTCATCAGAAAAAAATATTTACAAATCTCATGAAATTATTCATAATTTATCTAACCTTTTAAATAAAGAAGCAAAAAAACCTATTAAAGTATTTTATTTTTGTGAATCAAATCAAATAATAGATGAAGAAATTAAACCAACTCATTTGGAAAATTATGGACTAATCATAATTGAAGGATATCATAAAGAAAAAGACAAAGATCTAGATTGGGAAGAAAAATGTAAAGAAAAAATAGGGAAACTCTATGAAAAAGATGTATGGAAAAAATTCAAAAAAGAAATTATTTGCGTGAATTATAATGAATCTACGATTAGCTCAGAAAACATTAGAAAAATGATAATAAATAACGATGAAAATTGGAAAAATTACTATACAGGAGAAATAATAACATATATAGAACACAATAAACCGAACTTTTTTAAAACCATTTAGTGAGTTCTAAATTATATATTTTATAACGAATTTTAAAATATTAACATTTTTATATGTTTATTTTACATATTTATAGTTACAGTAACTATTACGTATTTACTTTTTGCTTTACTTTGATTTTATTTTACTTTTTATTAAAATGTAATTTATACTATAAAATAAAGATGCTCTAAGCGTATTTACAATTTATCAATATTATAGTCAATTTGTAATCATAAGTATAATTGTGACTATATTAAATAACTCCTATTTTGGTATCGAAAAATCTATTTTTTTTGTTTAAGTTAATATTCGAATTCCTAACTTTCAAACGTTATCAAATTTTCTAATTTTTTGAATAGGATCTAGGTTTTTTTTTGTTCACGATACCTTAAACAAATATCGAGATTTTCCAAATAAGTTACGCCACAAGATTTACGATCTAAATATTTTGAAAATTTAAAAATTCGCGTAGATGCACATAGACACATATATATATTCCCTTTGTCTAAACAATTTTACTTCGATACAATTATTGATTCAATTGAATAATTCGAAATACAATGTGATCGGAGCCTTACACTAAAGTACAAAATCAAACGCATGTGACAAAACATGAGCGTAACTCGTAAATGTTGATTCGACGTATAACTTTGCGGTAAGATCTAGGCAAAATATCTGTAACATCATCTTATTAAAATTGACGTGAAAGCAAAAACAAATTTTCTCAACATTTTAATATAAATTTCTTGAACTTATAAGAGTCATTCGCCAAAACAATCGTACTAATTAAATGTAATTATGCACAAATTAACAGTATCTCATCACATGGTTATTGGCGCCATTTTGACATGCTCGCATTCAAGTAATTGTGATGAGCTGAAATGAAGACGTGGACCTTTAGACTTATTCGTTATGATGATAATTACCTTACATTGTTTGTTGTATCATATATAACAAAACTAATATTATTTTCACTCTAATCTTCAATAAGGTATAAATTTCAATTTGATGATTAATTCGCAAATACCGTAAATGGCCGGATAAAGACTCTGATCTCTTACATTCCATCGATTTTAAAACCTATAATAGACCTCGGCTATAGTACATAGTTGAGAGTTTATTTTATTATATGGGAGAATTTTTAAAGAGCAAACGTTTTTCGTAGTACATAGTGAATCAGATGTTGTGGGGATCTTTCATCCGGCCATTTGTGGTACGTAGAAAACTATATCGCCCTAGTCCCCAGCTACCTTGTTACCGATGTAGTGCCAGATCTCATCACATTTTCAGTTTTTCCGAATTCCAAATACATGTTCTGCTGAGATATGTAAATTACAACAATTTGTGGTGTTTTATAACAATTAAAATCGAAAATTTTTACACAAAGTATAATTTTTGTAATAAATTTCTAATTCTTACGAAATTTAAATAGATATATAGATGTGCAGCTCTAACTGCTTAATATTTTGGGATAAACCTTTGCAAAAAAAAGAGCCATTTCTTTAAAGAATTAGAAAAAAAGTTATGATGCAA